TGAAGAGAAAGGTGCTAAATGCATTCTAGAGAGGTCAGGCAAAGCTACCTGGATGAAGCAACACTTCAGCAGAGATCTGAAGAATGAGTAGGAGTTAGCCAGCAAGCTGGTGAGGAACAACAATCAGTTGGCATTTGCTCCCTGGTGCTCTGTGCTGGAGCTCCAGAGCTGCCAACACTAACTTCATGCCAGGTGACAAATGATCTGAGTGCCCACAGCTGCAGCTGCTGCTTTATATGCTCTCCCTCCTACTTCCATCGTTAATGAGCCTGAGACCAGGAAAGAATACATCTTAGTAACCAAAAGCTCTTCTGTTAGCCTTTGGTCCAGAGACACAAGAGAAGCTTCTTCACTCCTGTTAACAATACAGCCACAGATCCTTTGTTATTTTCCTCTAGCACTTGCTAAAATAGCAGTTTGCAGCTACTAACTCATTTTTATACATCTTGGTGGCAGGTGGGGGTATGCTTATAAATACGCTCATTATAAAAAATGCATGATTTTTTCCCCAGGAACAGCTCTAAAGCATATAAATGTGTCTAAGCTTCCTTAAGGTTAATTCTTACTGCTAGGAACTCTTCTGATTTGTTCTTTTAGTAGTTCTAACTTTGGAATATTCCACCTGCAGTTATACAACACCCTAGAGACACAGGTATGCTAGAAGATAGCTATTTCAGATGTAAATAGCTCTACCAAGTAAAGGCAAGTTTTGTGTCTTTATAGATATCTCCACATTTCAAATAATATTTTTAAAAAGACGTTTCATTTCTAACAGCTAATTAAGGAGAAGGAGCTTTCTCTTTCTGCTGTGATGTGTCAGGTATAACATTCTTGGTATATAGAACCACTAGAAAGATTTCCATTTTGTCCCTTAGAAGTTGCTATTATATGACTATATCTACTATTTTAATTAGTGTGAAAAAATTATAATTTAATCTTTACTCAATTGTCAAAAAAAAAAAAAATGGCAGGATCCAGGAGGGAGCTCACACCTCTAATCCCAGCACTTTGAGAGGCTGAGACAGGCAGATTGCTTGAACCCAGGAGTTCTACACCAGTCTGGACAACATAGCAAAACCCTATTTCTACAAAAATTACAAAAATTAGCTGGGCATGTTGGTGTGCACCTGCAGTCCCGGCTACTCTGGAGGCTAAGGTGGGAGGATCACCTGAGTCCAGGAGGTTGAGGTTGCAGTAAGCCATGATTGTGCCACTGCACTCTAGCCTGGGTGACAGAGTGAGACCCTACTTAAATATATATATATATAAACTTAAGTGCTTTGTGGCTGGCAGTATGTTTAGTATAATACAGAGATTCAAAGAAAGCATAGAATTTGTTTCCTGCCTTTAAGGAATTTACAGTATGGTCACACAGGCTAAAGAAAAATCATGTTAAACTGATTCAGTGTCACCGTTGATAAAAAATAGTGACATTAGAATACACAGAGGGAGATCTTTCCACTACACCCAGAAAAAGGAGTACAGTATGAATCTAGTAGCAGAAACACTTCCATTAATTGTATATATTTTGTTTTTGCATAATTTTGTATGTCCAGCCTTCCAAAGAAGACACAAAAGCATGTTGTTCAGGGCATTGTATTTGTATCTTTCAAAATGATCATTTAACAGTGATCATTCAGAAGAAATAACCATTTCTTCTGAAATAAGTTTTTAAAAACATAAGCTAGACAATATTGACCAAGCCAGCTCCATATACGAAGTCTATTTCTATTGTTTTAATACAACAGCCTTAAGTCAACCACTAGGGGGAAAAACCTGCAGTACACACTGCAGTATATTTCTCCAAAACTGAATGCCCAGCAGTATTTAGACAAGGTATTCTTTTTCTAATAGATTAATCTATTAGGGAAAGATTAATCTCCAGGTCAAGCCACACACTAGGGTTTTGAATAAGGTGAAAGTCTTGGGCCAGCCACCATGCCATACTACCTCCTCTCACAGGGATAAAAATAAAGCATTACCAGCAAGTCCAGCAGGATGGAGACCAGGCTAGTGTGGAAATTTGTCTTATTGACACTGTTGGGAGAAAAAGCCTGACTTCACACAGATTAGCTCAAGCTGAAACTAAAAGCTTGCATCCTCAGTTGAACTGACACATAAACCCCATCGATATATATTTTTAAAGTGAGAAATTCCACTTTAGTGTATTTTTAGATGAGTGATATACAAGTAAATTAAGATATATAAATCGTTATCACAGCGGAAAGCTCTCTCTCGAGGATCAGGGGAAACTCCAGGGGTTTATTTTTGAAGTTGTTGGTTCAGTGACATTGTTTATTCGGCCCTTCTATTTACAAGTCATTATGCATTCATTTACAATTTAGTTGGGCAAATCACATTTATAAATTCCTTTAAAATGATTGTATCTTTTCACCCAGTATCACCCTTTCAAATGACAAAAACTTTTTTCTTCACTAGTTTCTCCACAAATTCCTGTCATTGTCCATAAAAAGTATAGATATCAGTACACAGGAACAAAAAAGAGGACCACTGCTGTTGGGGGGACAGGGGCTGTGACCCCTAGAAACTATCACAGTGTCCCCAAATACTATATAAGCAAATAGCTAAGGATTTCCCAAATGATCACTCTGCATATACAAAATTATAAAGAGGCTCTAGAGAGTTTCGCCTAAATCAAGTTGCAGAGAACCAAATATTAGAAGTGTTCTAATCAGGAGGTAAACGTATGTTACAGGGAGCAAAGACATTCTTCAAACCCTCAACTCTTTTCCTGAATGTATTTGTTTAATGTGTGTTATATACTCACTATGTCTACTATAGGGATATGAAGAGGAACTGTTTAATTCTGCCTGAATAATCACACGGTTTATAATTATCTTAATAACCGTTTTAAAAATGTAAAGGCAAGACTATTCATAAAAGAGGTTAAAAATAGAGTAAGATTAAATACTAATAGTGGAATTCCAGGGAACTTGCTTAGAAGCACCTGAGCCATAAGTGGAATCGGCTGATACAATAGCTTCAAAGACTTGGTAAATTTTGAGGATTTTAGTAATTTAAGACCATCAGGAAAATTAAATGTGAATGATATAGAACCCTGACTATATTCCAATTTTACTAGTCATTAAATCATTCAGTAGATAAATATTTTTTCAAGTACTTTCTAGGCTCTGAGGATATAATACTGAAAAAGAGTGCTATGTCTTGAAACTTACATTCTAATATGGTAGACATGCAATACATAAACCATATAAATATCCTAAAACTTTGTGCTGGCTCTTGCTGTTACACAGAACATTCAATGTTTTAAGAATACTGAATGCCTACATTGTTAGTGGCACTGGGAATGAACTGATGATGAAATCCACAAATTTCAGTCCCATGTTCAAGATCATCTTCAATATTACACAGTCTATTTGCATAATATTATCTATCTCTTACTCCTTACCTCTGAGACCAATAAAGAAAGCCATAGCCAACCCAAACCACATGTCTGACCCGAATACATCTCTTGCCCAGAACCTCTTCACACCTACAAAAATTGTTCTTTTAATCCATCTCTTTAGAAGGGGGCTCTCCAATCTGAAGGTCTTACTAATGCCCCTAAGTTAGATTTCTCCCTCAATTTAAATGCTACACACCTGTGCATGTCTCACTTTAATAGCATTTATTTTGTCTTTTACTGTGTACTCATATTCATGAACATGCCTAACCTAGTCATTTGAATGGCAACTCTTTGAGGGCAGGGACTCTATAGTTTCTAACTTTTCTCAGTATATTAGGCTTTATTTAGCATGCTACCTTACCTAGTTCACTTGCAAGTCATATTTCTTGTATTGAATCGTGTTATATTTGCTTATGTGCAATGATAGAAGATAAAATTCAGTCACTGGTTCATGAACAACATCTGTTCAAGGGAATCTATACAAGTTTATAAGTAGTCTAACATTAATCTTAGAGTAATATTACTAAACGTACACCCTCAGCCTTGATAATATCCAACTTAGTTCTGAATCTTTCAATTTTCTTGTTTCTAATGTAAACTCTTGGTCAGAACTCTCGAGTTTTCAAAACTGTTAACTCTTGTGAATTCCACATATAACCTGAACTTTAGGGAACCTATGTTTATATGTCTATGAATCCTATCTCCACATAATCATCTCAGCCAATAATTTATGTTCAAAATATAAAAACCAGCCTTTCCTCAGAATTTAAAAGCATAGAAAACTCAATGCACAACTGAATAGAATTCAACAAATTTAAAGTGTAACAGTGAAAACAAAATATTGTTTTTAATTCATATTTAATATTGTGGCAATAGATAATCTCCATACTAAGTTATCCAGACAGACATACAGTGTATGAAGGTTCAGAAACTAATCTATGTTCAGCACATGCCTATTTGTAACCATACGATAATAATTCTGCATCTAGGTCACATATACATGTTATTGTGTGCGTATACACAACACACATTCACAAAACGTATTAGACCATACAAAATGTACACATTCATGACATGCATTTTTCATAACTAGTGTTTTTATAGCTACACAATGTTTTTTTCTGGCACACAGATTTGAAAACACTGATATATTACAGGCGTGCTTAAGTCTACACCTACAGGTAAAAGTCTACTCCACGGCAGTCAAAAATTTTTTGCCATTGTCTTTTAAGTCATATCCAGTAACACTGCACAGTGATACAGGTTACGTTTACTTTCTTTTTCTCTAAAAAAGAAACATAAAAGAAAAGTATTTTTTATACCATTATCATGTGTTTCTAAAGACTGTGACTCGGGTCACGCTTCTATTAATAAACAATGTTCTGTAAAGCTTTTATCATACCATTTTGGAAAAATGAAAGATTATGACTCCCAAGTCCCCATGATCCTGGTGAAAATGAAATGGGTGTATACACATAGGCGCAATCCAGGACACACAACGTTTGGTACACAAAGGACGATCAGACCAGTCCTACCCAGAACAATTCCATTGAGTAGTTTCTGTTGCACGTACCAGCTCGGCTGCCCAGGATCCATTCTGCCTTTAAATACTACAAAGCAATTTACACTCCAAGTGCCGCCCGCTTAAGTTCTTCCTTTTGCTCTCAGAAATGGAAATACTTGTACAATGAGTGATGCCTTGTTGCAGCTGCTTCGCGAGTCCAGAAACCCATCTCTGAGCCGCGCGGGATTAAGCCCTGCGGCTCCAAGCTCATTCTCCCCAGCAGCTGGTAACTGGCTGGTCGCTGGGAGGCGAGAACAGGCATCAGCGCGCCATCTGGAGGCGTTACGAAGCAGCTGCAGCAAATTTATAACAACTGGGTGGAACAAGGATGTCAGAAAATTCTGTTAAATAACCAAATGTTTTTTTCTCTTGTTAAATAATCAAACGGTTTTATTTACACATTCCTGTGGATTAAAAAAAGAGAAAATTGCAGGAAGATCTCATTCTGTTGCCTATGAATATTCTCTGTCTTTCATACTTCACAATAAAATAAAAAAATAGATTTCACGTATGTACAAACACCACTAGATGGCAAATTTTCTGCTTGTCGGTGACTCATCTCAAAGGAAGATAATTAACACTGACTGCTTTCAGAAGTTTCAGGATTTGTGTATTTAACTAAAAGACAGCTTTCCAAAAGAGAAATCTATCCCTCTGAATTAACGCAATCCAACATGCTCTGCTATTTTGAAAAATTATGAACCTTACATCTGGAAATGTTCGGTCTGCTTCTTATCAATGCATTACACTGACTTCAGTATGATAACAAGGAAAAGCAGTTTCAGCTATACTTCATGTAACCAGGTGTTCATATGACTTTAATATTTCAAAAAAAAGTTCTTTCAATTAATTTCCCACTATTAATCTCCATAAGCTTCTTTCCCTTAAAGAGAATAATTTGGTATACCTGGATGAGATATAAGCTTAATTAATTGAATAGAACATTTTAGGGCTTGTCTACCGCGATATGCATTTAGAAATATAATCATTAAATATTTCTTCATTCCCTGCAGGTGAGTGAACCCCACCCCTGCCCTGATTCCGACTTCTATCACTGCATCATGATTTTGAATTTCACTTTTTAAAAATAAAAAATTCACTTTAAAATTATTTAATCAGAATCTTATATAGAGTGGTTTTGTTGTTGTTGTTGTTGTTGTTGTTGTTGTTGTTGTTTTCAGGGAAATGTGAACCAGAGATTGATTATGTACTCTGTGAGGTCCCCTTGGGAAACAGAAATTCTTAATCATCTCATTCTCAAATCAGTTTTTGAGAATGTCTGGCAGAATAAACATAGAAGAAGTTTCCTTCATCAGTATTTCATCTCAAGTGTTTATTCCCATTTGTATAATAAATGAACATACTGTTATTTCAAGTGCATACCACTAGACATATTCTGAAGAAAAGTAAAATTTTTATTTTAAATACAGACAGTATATACCAAATATTTATACTGTAATTTTTTGTGAGTTTGTTAAAGGTCTGAAAACAGATGTTCTGTTTTTAGATGAGATTAAAAGGAATGTTAATTCTTCATGTCTCTATACCTTTGGCTTTTAGCACTGTGGAACTTGAAAACTATTTATTAAATAACTGACTCCTAAATTACATGACTTCTATGCTGAAGGATAGTTATAGACTTCTTAGAAAGTCCAGACTTCAAATGTATAGTTCAAGATAGCAAGCAGAATAAATAGCACTTGGAAACATATAAATAATAAACAAATATACAGTGACCACATATAGATGTGTCTAACCAAATAAAATTTACATGAACATTCAGATGTAACATGTAGATAAATCAGGGATAAATTTTCACACATAAACATCTTGACCTTACAAAATCATTGTTTAAGTAAATATTCTCATTTTTTACAAAATATCAAGTAAATATTAATCATTGTTTAAGTAAATATTTTAAAAATTAAGAATAACTTTACTGAAAAAATTAAGTAAATTAAATATTTACATGTATAAGCAGAAAAAAGTGAGACATTAATGAGAGGAGTGAACATATGAATCTCATAGTCAAAGACACTGGGGCTATGCTCGTCAGAACCAAGAGCTGAAAATGATAGGAGCTGATGCTGCATGCAGAAGAGATGATTATGTGGTTAAGGGAGGAAGAAAAGTATTATGGTCACATGTTGTTTTCTGAAAGGTCTACACTTAGTTTTAAAACACTGAGAACAGGGAAAATATAGAAAAGGAATAAATCCCGAAATAGAAAGATACTAAGGAAGTAAAGGATATTATTTCAGTTTCCATAATTTAATATGTGTAACTCAAGAAAAGAAAAAGTTTAAGACAGAGTCACACCGCGAGGTCTAAAGAAATAAAATAATAGGGGGTTCTTAATGTTTGTCTCTTTCAATAAACTAGAATGAGGATCTGTATTAGATTTCTATTACTGTATAGCAAATTACCAAAAATTTAGTGGACTAAAACAAAATACATTTATTAAATCGTGGTTTCTGCAGGTCAGCAGTCCAGACATGGCTGAGTCCTCTGCTCAGTGTCTTATGAGACTATGATCAAGAGGCCAATTGGGCTGCATTCTTATCTGGAGGCTTGACGGAATAATTTATTTCCAAATTTAGTCAGGTTGTTGAAGTATTTATTTCTCTACGGTTGTAGAACCCATGGTTGCTTGCTTCTTCAAGGATATCAGGAAAATGTGTCTTCATTTTCAGGAGGTTACCAATCTCTCTTTTAAGAAATTTCACCTGATTAAGCTAGGACCACCCCAAACAACCTCTCTTTTGGTTAACTCAGAATCATCTGATTAGGGAGTTGAATTACTTCTGTATAGTTATTTCCCTTTTGCCATATTTTATTGAGTAGAAGGAAGTACCAGGTTCCATCCACACAAAACAACAGGGGATTAGGCAAGGGCATGACCCATTGGGGGTCACCTTAGGGTGTGTCCACAACAGGATCTATGTAAAGGCACATGATATTTCTTGCTTACCACTCCAAAGTTAATTGGGGTAGACTTGGGGAAGTGACAGTATGGGGTCATTTTGTGGTCTTTAGGGTCAAGCAGAGCATGAATTTATTTATCATAGGAGAACTATAAATGCATAGTTACATCTGTGATGAAAGAAGTGTAACAAGAACAACAAGAAGCCTGGAGGAGTCATCTGATGAAGAAGAAACATGGAAGTAAAAGATCAATGGAGTGAATTGAGGAATTATATCAGACTTGTGAGTAGGACTTGGGAGAGTGAAGAACATTGGTGCAGATGAAGCTGCAACAGTTTTATGTGTTAGACATATTTATGTTGCCTGGATGTCTTCCCACAGGCCCTCATGCCTTCACAGCCATGTTCTGAGGTGGCTCAGCTTTATTAGATAAGTGTATATACTTGACTGAAAATAATACAACTAGAGATTGTCCAGAAATTTGTAGTCTGTGTGGCCTTACTGAAAAAAAATTAACCTGTCCAGTTAGATTTCCAGGAATTTGAACTAACAGAAAAAAGAAAAGTTATCAGTTGCTAGAGAACATTGTAAATTAAAGGTCGTGAAATAACTGAACTGACTGCTAGCTAATATAAAAAAGAACTATTTAGCAGGAAAAGAAAGAGACGCAAAAGGAAGTAGAGATTAGAAGTAATAGTCATTCATTTAATTCAACCTCCAAAACATTGATATGTAGTTCCTATTATGTACTGGGCACTGTTTTGGGTGGCAATGATACCACAATGAATTAAAGTCCCTGTTGTGATAAAACTTATTGTTGTAGGAGGTGGTAGATTAGCACAAGTTAATAAATTATATGTTATCAGGTAGATAAACTGTAGGAATAAACAAGTTATGCAGTTCAAGAGTAATGAGGGAATTACTACTTGGGATAGCATGGTCAAGAATGCCTACATGACTATATGTCCTTTGAACAGAAACATAAATACAGTGAAGGTGCCAGCTAATATTTGTGGAAGGATGTTCTGGGCAGAGTGCATAGCAGCTTCAAGTGTCCTAAGATATGTATGTTCTTTTTAATTTGAAGGAAGAGCAAGGTGGAAAATGTGGCTGGCACAGTGGGAGCAAAAGAGCAAATGATAAGGCATAGGTCAGATATGGGCTGAGTGAAATGATCATATAGGGCTTATGAAACTGTGTGAGGACTTTGGCTTTTACATAGACAGATAGGAAGCCAGTAGAGGGTTACTGGAAAATTGCATCATACTTAAATTTTTAGGAATCGCTCTTCCCTCTGTAAAGAACAGAAAGAAATTAAGGAAAGTGTTAGGGAGGCAACCATGCGGACCCCAAGAGAGACAGAAAAAAGACCTAATATCCTATTATGTTCCCCATGAAGTCTGGCTGTACTAGTTTCAATTCTTGATTTCTATGAGATAAAGACTGTAAATCTTTTAAATACACAAACAAAATCCCACCAACAACCCTTTTCTTAAACTAGTAGCATGGATCTCAATTCCTTGTCAAGTGAACACTATACTGTCCACATGATAGAAAGAAGCCAGTCCAGCTTACTGAGCAGCAGGTGTTGTGTTTTGATTGAGTCATCCTATCGAGCTGAGTTGTATATGAAACGTCCCTGCATGGATTAATAGTTGCTCAAAGCTTTAAGGAATGTTAAAAACTATTCAGCACTTGAATATTCTGGATTCCTGTTTATTTTGGCATCACAGTTAAAAGGTAGTAGAGTTTTTAAAACATGTTACCTTTTAGTAAATGATAGAGGGCGCTTGCATATGGGGAGTTAATGTCAACCTACTATATCATTGAAAGGAGTTATTTTTCCAGGGTATTGGTTTAAACCCACAGAAAAAGGTCAGTTTTGAAAGATTATCTTATCTTTTCTGACACAAGTGTTCCAAAATTTCTAACTCTTAAATATTATCATTCAATATCAATACAACATATTTAGGACATATAATTCATTTTTAATATGTTATAGATAGCTATTCTATTTGTTTTATACTACAGAATCTTTGAAACCAGATATTCTCCCCATTTTAGAAATAAAATAATTCAAACAAATAATTTATAAGAAGTCCATTAATTTCCAACTTTGTATCCTTCTAACACACACACATACAGAAACACACACACGTTTGTATCACTTGTATATGTGTAGGCATATTTTGGCTATTTTTCATGACACTTCAATTGAAATATCACACAGTCAACTGTAATACATTTTAAGGTGAAAGTGGGAGATGTCAGCAGTTGCTTTTTCAC